GGAGCCTCCTCAAAGTAGTATGGACCCTAATAACACAAACTGAGTAAGGCTTTCAGGATCTTCATTTTCTGATGTGGCTCATCTGAAAATAAGAAGAAACAACTACAAACATCCATTAACATTTGGAACATGAAATTTATAAAGTATGAATTTAGGAAAATTGGCAGTCATCAAAAGTAAAATGGAATTCACAAAGATCAAAGGTCAATATCCTAGGCATTAGTGGAGTGAAATAGCTGGTATTGGTCATTTTGAATCAGATAATTATAAGATCTACTATGCTGGAGTGACAAATTGAAGAGGAATGGTGTCACGTTCATCATCAAAAAGAACTTTGCAAGATCTATTCTGAAGTATAAAACTGTTAGTGATAGGATAATTTCCATATGCCTACAAGGAAGACCAGTGCACATGACTATTATTCAAATTTACACATCAACCACTAAAGGTAAAGATGAAGAAATTGAAGAATTTTGTAGTCACCTTCTGCAACCTGAAATTGATCAAACATGGAGTCAGGATGCATTAATGACTGTGATTAGAATGTGAAAGTTGGGAACAAAGAAAAAGGATCAGTAGTTAAAAATTTGGCCTTGGAAGTAGAAATGATGCCAGAGATGGCATGAGAGAATTTTACAACACCAATGACATATTCGCTGCATTTTTTTTTCCCAGATGCATAAATGGTGACTATATGTGGGGACCTCACTGAAGGGGACACAGGGAAATCAAATTGTCTACATCTGTGAAAAAGATGATGGAGAAAGAAGCTTAATATTATCAGTCAGAAAAAATGCCAGAGGCTGACTGTGGAACAGACCATAAATTGCTCATATGTAAGTTGAAGATGAAGTGAAGAAAATTAAAATAAGTCCTCAAGAGCTGAAGTACAACCTTTAGTATATCCCTTCTGAATTTAGAGACCATCTCAAGTATAGATTTGACACTTGAACACTACTGACCAAAGATCAGATGAGTTATGAGATGACATAAATGACATTATGAAACCAAAAGGTCAGGAAAGAAAGAAAATGCTGAAATGAATGTCAGAAGAGACTCTGAAACTTGCTTTTGCATGTAGAATAGCTAAAGTAAAAGGAAGAAATGTTGAAGCAAAAGACCAGAAATGAAGATTTGAAAGGGCAGCTAGAGAAGAAAAGTAAAATATTACAGGGAAAGATGCAAAGACTTGGAATTAGAAAATTAAAAGTGAAGAAAACACACAGCATTGCTCAAGTTTAAAAAATGGAAGAAAAATTCAAGCCTTGAGTTTCAATATTGAACAATTCTACATACATATATAAAGTAACATTTTCTTGTGACTTGGGTGAACATTTAGAGAGCAAATTGGTTTTCCATTCAGCAATCATACAATTTTGTTTCATGTTATTGATTATAATCCCCACAGGGTAAAGACACTCTTCTCATTTCCTCCCAGTGGTTACCATTTCTCTTTGTCCTTCTTTCTTATCCATTCTTGTTTTTTGAGCTTCACTCTTGGGGAAATGCTGCCCTTTTGATCTCTTACGTTTGGTTGTTCTAGGAAGTACATACTTTCCTGGTGTTATTGTTAACCATATAGGCTTATTGCTTGGCTGAAAGTTGAACCAGAAGATTAAGTTCAGTTCCAGGCCTAAAAGGTAACTGTCATAGTCTGGGGTGTTCCCAGCAGTCTTTATCAGACCAGCAAGTCTGGTGTTTTTTGTTTTATTTTTTTATGTTGAGATTTGTTCCACATTATTTTCTCACTCTATCCAGGATCTCATATTGTTATTCTTTCCAGAGTAGCTGGCAGTAGTGCCCAGTTACTGTCTAGTTCTTCTGGTCTCAACATCATAGAGGGTGACGTTAATGTGGTCCACTAGTCCCTTAGACTAATTGCTTTCATATGTCTTTGATTTTCTTTACTCTTCTTTGCTCCGGACAAGGAAAAACCAATAGGTGCACCTTAGATACCTGTTAGCAAGTTTTTAAGACCCCAGTCATGACTCATCAAATTATGAGGTAGGAAATTTTCTTTGTGGGCTATGTTATGCTAGCTGACCATGAAATCCTTGGAGACTATGGTCCTGATTTCACTGGCACAGTGACCCACTCCCTCAAGGTGTTTTGTTTTTGCTAAGACAATTTCATAACTTTGCCACCCGTTAGCTGTACTATGTACATAGACATTTTTACAGCTCATACATATACTTATATAGAAATATCATCTGCCAAAACTATGTATGGTCATGGATATAATCTCATTTGCTTTCACATACCTGATCATCTTTCCTATCTGTCTATGTATACACTCGTAGATTACGGTTTGTTAATGCTCATAATGCAGGACTGTGTATGTAATAGTGTTTACTTTTATTATCTGTAACTCTTCAGCGCCTCACCATATCTACCTTTTCCTTAGTGATATTTTCCTTGTCACCACTATTTGTATATTGCCTTTCCCTTCATCCACATAAATATGCATCTCTTACTTACTTAGGAGCTCTGGTAGCATAGTGCCTGAGGCACTTGACTGGACTGCTAACCAGAAGGCTGGTAGTCTAAATCCACCAGCCACTCCTTGGAAGGAAGGTTGGGCAATCTACTTCCCTAGCAACATTGCCTCAGAAACTCAAGGAGGGGTTGCTATGAGTCAGATCCAGTTTGACAACAGTGAGATTGGTTTTTGGTTTTGTTTATTTACTTAGTAACTTTCCCTCCCTTCCTCTCCCACCCCTGGTAACCATCAAAGAATGTTTCTTTCTGTTTGTGAATCTTTCCTTGGGGTTTTATAACAGTTGACTCATATATTAGTCTTTTTGTGATAGTCTTATTTCACTCAGTATAAAGTCCTCCAAGTTTATCCATGTTGTGAGTTGTTTAGCAAAGTCTTCATTATTTCTTTGGACAGAGTATTGAACAACATAGGAAACATCAAAAACTGGAAGGAATGCAGAGAGTAACTGTACCAAAAAGAATTGTGATGTACAACCATTTCAGGAGCTAATATTGGATCAAGAATGATGACTTTGAAGGGAGAAGTCCAAGCTGAACTGAAGACATTGGTGAAAAAAACAGACTCCAGAAATTGATGTAATACTAATTGAGATGTTTGAACAAGTGGATGCAACCTTGAAAGTACCCATAACAAAACACATAGCAATTTGTTGACTTCTATCTGAGCAATTTAGTGACTGATTACATTCTTCAAGTTGTATGATCCTTCTAGCTATCTTTTCCCAAACTATTTAACCACATTAATAAACATTCAATGTACTAGAAGCAAAAACTTCTTGTTTCCCCTGCCTTCCTGCCTTTGGTACCAATTGCTTTTACTCTCTCTCTATTTTTTTTTTTTTTTTTGTGTAAATGGTATAATATGGCATCTGTCCTTTTGTGACTGAACAATATCATCCCTTTTGATAATCACTGCCATATTTCAATTTATAAAATACATTCATAAATACACTTATTTCTCACTTATCAACTATCTCACATTTTGCTCTAATGGCAATTGTAAAAAATTTACATATTTAGGGCTATTTTGTTCATTAGCTATGTATGTTTTGCAATAATGAGCACTGAGATGTAAAGAGAGAACAATGCTGGTCCAGGATTCACAGTGGTTTGGTAGTTATGTAATAATGTTATTTCCCAGTTATGTAATGATGTAATTTAGCTGTTATGTAATGATATAATCCTCTTCCATTTTATAATCTGAAGTGATCATCTTCCACTTTTATATAATGCCGATTTTTCCATAGAAACTTGGTCTTTGGAACCTAACCATATTGTTAAATAAGGAGTGGCCATATACATTTTTCAAATCTTTCATCATCAGGCAAAATTTACATGTAATAGATACTTTTTTCATTTATTTATTTTCTTTATATTCTATAGTAGCAATCTTATCTTATGGGAGGAAAGGAAGTAAAGTCTCATTTTTTTCATATGTATTGTTATATTCTCAAGAACAAACATCAACATCACCAAAAAATTATCTAAGTTTTAGGGGACTGGAGGATTTTTTATAATTAAATTTATTGAATTGACTTGACACCATTGTTATTTTTGTTTTTGTTTGTTTGTTTTTTTATATAAAGAAGCAAGCCAACTTCAGAACCAATGATTCCTTGATATAACTCTTCTTACAATATAATCACCAAAGCACTCTTAATTATTAGACCCTTCTTTGCAATTCATGTACACATGAATGGTTTGTCTACTTATATAAAAGAAAACTAAAAACGTAATATATTAAGAAAGTAGTCACTTAGCATTTCTAGCTCTGGTAGCATAGTGTCTAAGGCACTTTACTGCTAACCAGAACACCGGTGGTTCAAACGCACCAGCCACTCCTAGGAAGGACAATTGGGCAATCTACTTCCATAGTGATACTGCCTCAGAAACCCAAGGAGGGGTTGCTATGAGTCTGATCCAACTAGAAGGCATATAACAACAACAACAACAACAACCAATTAAGGGCTATTAATTGAGTTGTTGCTTCTATAACATCCACAAGATTTGGGATATGGAATGGATATTGTGGAATTTATTTTCTGTTCATAATTGCATTCTTAAAATGGACCAAAAGAAAGGTTCATTCAGGACTGAAAACTATTTTTCAGAGTTTTAAACCCAACAAAATTCTCTCTATGCTACTCATTCAATATAATATCTTGAGGGGCAGAATGAATAAAACACTAATCTTATAGATACAATCATGATGGTATCCATTCATCCTCCAAGCTACATGAATGAGAAATTACATTTTTTGTTTCATGATCAGTTCCTTTGAAAAACTAATGAGATTCTTTCATTTAAAATCTATATTAATAAAAATGGCTTTGAACATTAATGCATGCCAATTGACTGGAGCCCAATTAAAAACTCTATAAAAATGGACACATGCTACCATATCTTTTGCTTTGGTATATATGTAAGTGTCCAGTATAGAAGTAAACACTCAAACAGAAACTGCCCACTGAAACTCAGCTTAGCTCAGACCTCTTGACAATATGTCTTACAACTGTAGCTCTGGAAACTGTTCTTCCCGGTCTCATGGAGGTTACCTGGGGTACCCACTTTCTACCTATGATGCTTTCGACCCAAGCAACATAGTCTACTCTCCCAGAACCTGCCAGGTGGACTCTTCTTTCTATAATTGCTGTCAGGAGAGCTTCTGTGAGCCTACCAGCTGCCAGACACCCTGTGCTGTGGCCAGATCTTACCAGGCATCCTGCTATCATCCAAAGAATCTCATCCTCTGCAGTCCATGCCAGAAAAATTATGCTGGATTTCTGGAATGTGGAAATATTGGCCTTGGATATTTAAACTATGGAAGCAATGACTGTGGGTCCAGCTTCAGCCATCCAAGTTACTTTTCTTCCGGGAGTTACCAGTCAACTTGTTACCAACCAGCTTTTGGCTCTCGCTATTTTGGATCAACTTACTGAATATTCTCCATTTTCTCACAGTCATCTCTACACTATATGAATCTTCAACAATCAATCTGGATAAGATCTATGATTTCTAACCATCTGGGTCACCAGGACTTACCATCAGAGTTCTGTATATGACTTACTATCGAAAAGTATATGATTTACCTGGACTGGGCTTGGGATCTTTCCTCAATCTGGTATGTGAGATATATCTTACATTTTAATTATCGTACCAGTGCTCAAAATCATTTCCTTTAGTATCTTTCTGTGTTTTCTCTCTTATGATTTTTCTAGCACTTTCTCATTCAAGTTTATTTGAAATGGTTTCTAAATAATTTTAAATACAATTATTTAAAATAAATACATTTTAAATAAAACTTATTTATCTGGCATGAGTTAGTCTATTCTGTTTTCTTTTATTAATATGGCACATTTAGTGAATGTTCCTGTACTTTCAACTCATTAGGTTAAAAAACAAGTTGTCATTGTTTCATAAATTTCCTTAGTATTTTCCTGGACAGGAACCAGTGAAATTAAAGAAGAGTTGAAATATATGACATATTTCAAGTTGTGAAAGTTTCACTGAACAGACATTTGTTAGCTTTCTATTATAGATAAGGCATTCTACTGAACAAAGACAGATTCTCTACCTTTAAGGGGCTCACATAAATAAAATTATAACTTATCAGTAGGCAGCAAATATAATAACAGAAATAAAAGATAAAATTCAGTAAGAAAACAAAGAAGAGGAGCATCCAAAAGAATTCAGGGTGGGTTGAAAATTGTATAAAATTCATTACTGAAAATAGAAAGAGTGAGTTACAACTTTATATCAAAACAAAAAAAGAAAATCATATTAATTCATTAGGTTAGTTACAGTCTTTTAAGAAGCAGCTGCCAAGATGAGATGAGGCATAAATATAGATACATTCATCTACTTTCGTATTGTCTATGGTGGGTTTCATGTTAAAATAGTATAGTTGAGAAGTTGGAACAGGAACCACATACCCTGCAAGTCATAAAATATTTATTACCAAACATTTTTCATGAAAAGTTTGCTTACCAATTCTTGTTTTAGAGCATCAAACTTATTCCAAAATTTTTACCATTGTGTTTTCAATTTAGGGTAGCTATAATGAAACTATGCCAGTAAATTTATTTGTCATTCTTTTTATTTGGCTAACTCTATATCTGAAAACATTAATTGGGGTTTCTGTACCTCAGAATAAATGAATATCACATTTTTAAACAACTTGAAATGAAAAAAATGATCAATAAAGAGTTTCCTCTGTTTTTTCATTTGACTGATAATGTTATGCCTTGATGAATGAACAGAACTCTTCTTTGGTTTGGAAAATTAAAATAACATGAATAATATCTAGTGTTGTTATGTGACAAGTTCATGATATGAATCATTTAATATCTAATCAATTCTGTGAGTTAGGTTCAGATACGAATATTTTATATATCATGGACTTCCAGAAGAATGAACAAACCTGTTTTAGAAGAATTACAGCCAGAAAGCAACTTAGAAGTGTAGCATGGTAAGACTTCCTCTGATGTGCTTTGGAAATGTTGTCTGGATGGACTATTCCCTGGAGAAGGAAATAATAGTTGGTAAAGTAGAGGGTCAATGAAATAGACTCAATGAGAAATGGACTCTCAATGAGATGGATTTACACCATGGCTGCAGCAATGGCCTCAAATATCGCAACAATTGTGAGGATGGCACAGCACCAGGTAGTGTTTTGCTCTGTTGTATATAGGGTCTCTATGAGTCAGAACCAACTCCTCCACAGTGCCTTACAAAAACAACAACAAAAAGTTCAGATATACCTACTACTCATTGACTCTTTTGTCATCTCACATTTCACATTGCAAAAACTTTGGAAAATTCTTAGGCAGTACCTCCAATGATATGGACCCACACAGGGTAAAAGCCAGGCCCAGAGCTCCCTCTGAAGGATACCCTTATACATACTAGCAGCCTGGCAATGACAGGGACACATGAGCAACAGAGGCTAAATGACCATAGAAGCCTTCATCCATGACTTGGTCTGATAGAGAGTACAGGGAGATGGCAGAGTGATGTGAGGTTGCAGGTGGGCAGGAGGATAAGTGAGGGTCCAAAGGTGCCTGGGAGATTGGTGATTGGAGGCGGGAATGGGAGGGGCAAGGGAGCCAGGTGGTGTTGTGGCACTCTCAGAAAAGGAGGACAAGTGGGCAGCAGGATGGGGTAGAAGAAAGAAAAGCTGAGTCCACACCCAAAGTGAACAGTGGGAGGCAGGTGGTTGTGGGCAACACCCAATCACCACCACTGCCACTCTCAGCCTCCTTGGGGTCTGCATTGATGGGAAAGGCATGGTGGAGAAGGAGGTCCACCACACCATACACATAACAAGAAGTACCAGGAATCACCAATAGGTGGTGAGTGACAGGGTGAGGTGACAGTTGTGCGAAGACAGGGCATAGCCTCTGACTCTCACATGATGCTGATATTGCATAAGAACCTGGTCTTTGGAACCTAACCATGTCAGTAATTGATTGTGAGTGTGTAATTTCCTTTTACAGATGAAGAAATGGAAACACACATAGGTTAAATAAGCTTCCTTGCATAACACTTAACTTACACGACAGAGTACATTTAAACCCATGGGATCTGTCTACAAAACCTATGATCTTAACCATGATAACCCATTGCTGTTTTTTTTTTTTTTTTTGCTCTCTGAATTAATTTCCTAATGTTGCCGTAGCAAATTATCACACACAGGGTAACTTAAAAGGGGAAAAAACAAAAACAAAAACAAAAAACCTCACTTCCATGGAGTTGATTCTGACTCATAGCCACCTCCTCTGGGTTTCCGAGGCAGTAAATCTTTATAGAAGTAGATTCCTCAGTCTTCCTTCCACGGAGTGGCTGGTGGGTTTGAACCGCCAACTTATTTGTTAGAAGTCAGATGCCTTATGCAGTACGCCACCAGAGCTCCTTTACTTAAAAAGCAGAAATTTATTGTCAAAGTTCTGGAGGCTACAAGTCCAAAATCAAGGTGCTAGACACAATAGTGTTGTTCTATACTAGATCAGACAGAATTCATAGTAATGTTTATTATCAATTTTTATCTTAGAATATTATGTAAAATAAATGTAGTTGCAGAGTGCTTAAATGCAATATATCTTAGATTATATGAATATTCGCAATAAAATTGTTTTTGCAAAACTTCCTATGTTGAATTCAATTATTGCAACATTATTAGTGAGTAGAAGCTTTTTAAAATTTTTCTCCTTCCCCTTTAATTTCTACTTTATTCTCAAGAAAGTTATTGATAGAGTTTCACAAATACTACCTACTATAACATTGTAGCTAAAACAGCAGAAAATTTGACAAGATCAGCTACTATTAAAAACATCAGCAGCAACAAAAACAACAGTGTGTGCTTGTAGCCTTTGCAGATGAAATCACATGATTCGATGTACCCTTGTAATTGGATGATAATGACAGCTCTATGGAGCACATTGGAAGGTTCAAAAAGTAAATTAGCATAGAATTTTAACCTTGTAATCTATACTAAGTCACATCTAAACTGTGCTTACAAAAAATGTTTTTGCTGTTATAACTAAGTACGAAGATATTTTTACAAGAAATAAGAAATTTTTGGTTAAATACTACATAAAACTTTATTAACAGTCATTTTCATGTCACCCTCTTTGACAGTGTGACCCAGTGCAGTTTGTAGTCCCTGTACCCTCCTAGTGATGCCATTGTCTAACAGGGCCATACTCTCTGAAGGTTCGTACTTTCCTCACCACTACCTAGCATCTTATGGTTGGTAGCAACTTTTCGTTTGTAGATGTATCACTCCAGTCTCTGCTGTGGTCTTCATGTAACCTTCTCTCATGTGTCTGTATCCCTGTGTCTCTTCTCATAAGGATATCAATCATATCAGATTATGGAGCCACTCTACTTCAGTATGACCTCATCTTAAGTTGCTTGCCTCTGAAAAGACCCTCTTTCAAAATAAGGTCACATTCACAGGTATTGGGGTTAGGACTTGAGCATATCTCCTTAAGGGACACAATTGAACCCACAACAGCAGCTCTAAAAAAAAAAAAACGTAGTCAAAAGACATAGAGAGGAAATGGATGAGGGAATTTTGCCATTGTGGGCTTAAAGATGCCTCACAGGCATATCCATAATATCAAAACTTTATCCCAGTCCTCCCCCAAAAGGATTTTTCTCCTTTAAACATTCCCTTTAGGAAGTGATGTATCCTTTCTTCTTGTGGCTAGTTTTTATCTACAAGCTGTTTTGTCTAATCTTACATAGTGCCCAAAGGAAGGCACTCCTCAAAAGAAGGAGAAAATAGGTAATTGCATGAATTCTAGATTTCTAATGTTTTACCACTTCTGAAGGACCATTCACTCTGCTTGATATGTCTAAACACAAAAACAATTATTTTGTTCCTGTGGAAAGAAGAAAAGAAAAAAAAAAAAAAAAGAGTACTGTATCCCGAGCCCAGAGATTTGGCATCCTTACCTGAAGCTACCACTATGTATGTAACCTTGGGTAAGTTGTCTCACCTTTTTTAAGCCTGTTTTCTCATTTATAGAATACAAGTGTCTAGTATATAATTTATAAGATATATTTTAACTCTAATATTGTAACTATAATTCACAATTTCTTAGACATTGAGTAGGAAATGATTAAAAATTGAACTTACCAGGCACATGAATAATTAAAACAGATTTGTTTTTTTTTCCCTTCTAGGGAGAGTAAACTTGCCACAGAAAATATGAAGTAATCTATTGGAAATATATATTATGTACTTATTTTTATTAAATACATATTTGCAGGATCCTGACATAATCTATACTAAGTCACAGAACTTGTACACTTCAACAGTCTCCTTTTTTCTGGCACTTTTTCGGCCAATGTCTAGTCTTCTCAAGGTTCCTCTTCCACTTTCAGATTGAGTAAAATACTAAAGCTAGATAGATTGTAGACTCTGACTTCAGAA